TATTTATTTATCTAATTATTTATTTATTTGTTTGTTCATTTATTTATTTATTCATTTTTGTTCTATAGATGCTTATGTAAATACTATACTATACAAATRTTTTTATATGTTTTATTGCATTTTTATATATTGTAAAGAGATKCAATAMAGATTATTTATACTTCTTTTTTTATTTATTCATTTATTTGCTGTTCATTTATTTATTGTATAATTGTATTGTTCCTTCTGTCAAGAGAGCAACCAGGCTCAACAGGCTGTCTATGTGTTTGTAGCCATCACCGATAAATAATAGCTAATTAACATACAAGGAGCACAATATTTGGTATATTTCAAATTCAATTTAATAAACATTTGTTTCAAGTATGTACAGACTCATTTACTCTGACTGTAATGATACTTTCTACTTTTGTACATAAACAACATGACTTATTATGTATCCCTGAAGTCTGTTCTTGGAATTAGTAAAAACTGTAACCCCTGAATTTGGGACATTGTGTTCTTTGAGTCCATCATATAAATAGCATATGTCAAAGTGATTTATCATACTAATGTAGTGACTACCATTCCACARTGTTAAACTATGTAAATAAAGTTCAGTGGAATTTAGAGAAATGACTGGTGGCAAATCTTTCCATGTCAAATGACCAGCTCTACTTAGTAAATCTACAGAAAAGATAAAGATACCCTTAAAATTACAAAMTTGTCTTGAAGAATTTTTCCTTGTGCCCGAACAATACCAGGAGGGGAAGTGCTGTCCATTACAGTCGGCCACACTGTCTTCTATGAATGGGGTACTTGGRTGTGGTTTACTGTTAAATCTCCTATGGCAGGGCGATGGACCTGGATGGAGCCATTCATGAAGTGAACTCTCAAATGTTGCCATATTATGGGAGCAACCAAGACTTATGTTACAAGTTTTGTAAGTTTCAGATAACAAAGGACAGGTGGGTAAAGTGCWTGTAGATCTGAGTTCAGTGTTCAAAACTGTTTTCATTAATGGCAAGAAGAAGTCAGCTTCATTTCCATACAAATCCATAACAGTAGAAGTGTTAGCTACAAGCATTGCTTGTGGTATAAGCATTAGTTTGGCATCACCATATTGATGCCAGTCAAGAAGAAATAATGCACTCTTTATCAGTTCACCGGATCCACTTAGATCATCCAGATTCAAAATATTTGATTTGACTAAACTTTGAAATATCATGATCCAGTTGTCAAGAGGGCATGTGTTTGTTAATGTTATTCCTGTTGATGTAGAACATCCCCATGGTA